TTAGGGTTAAGCATGGATGGACACACAAAGCATTGCCGAAGGTGTCGCACTGGTATCATGATTCAGGCGGAATTCCATGTTTCTTGCAAACATCACACCACTTGGTTGGATTGGTTTTTTTCTCAGTACATGTAGGTGGAATTGGCTCAAGGAAGTGGCGTTCTTGGAATCAAATTGCACCAGGAAGTGACCTTGGGCGTCCATGTGATCTGTACTCTGGTAGTGTGACTGTATCGAAAATTTCCTGAACAAGTAACTGTTTGAATTGAAGGATAGACATCTTTCCCTCAAGGTGCCTGTGCAAAAGATAGCTGTTGATGATAGCCAAGTCCAGAAGATAGTAGAACACGTTCTTAATTATACCATTTGACATGCTTTCTAGCTGGCTTGCATATTGAAGCTAACTGATTAGAGATGTCTGTACCTCCCATTCCTTTATTGTGATTTACCACACACTTGGGCTTGATAATTGGTTGTTTGGTTTTCCTATTTACTTTTCCAATATCTACCATTTCAGCATTATAGATGGTTGTTAGCATTTTTACGTCCTTTTTGTCTTTCCAAACAAGGCACAGCATTCCATCTGCAGACCAATAAGCAATTTTATCCTTCTTCAGGTGCACCTTTCCTAGATCAGCTGGCATGTTCATTCTAATTCTATTCACGGACACGGTTCCACACACTGTGACTTGAGTTTTTAAAATTTAATTCCGAAGCGGACACGCTTTGTTGGGTTGTACTGCTTGAATCCAATCCTGCCATGAAATTAATTGCATCAGTGACTCGTCAATTGAAATATCCTGAGTTGGAATGAAACCAGCCTGAAAGGTCTCATTTAGTGTATTTATCACTGGTCTGAGTTTGTACAATCTGTCAGTCTGATCATCATTTTCATTTCTGTTGAAATGTAGGTTGCCTAAAATGTCTCTATAACGGTCTCTTGGCATCATCTCAGGAAATATCAGGGTGTCTAATTTTCGGTCTCTTGACCAGTACATGTCTATTTCAGACTTGCATACCAGGACTCAAAATTGGGCTAATCATCACAGGAGCAAGTACTTGCTCCCTAGACAGCTAAATTTGTCACTTTACGGGAGCAAGTAGCTGCCATACAAAATTAAAGACATAGTGTCTTTTCCAGAAAAAAGCAAAGAACCTGGTCCTTGCTGTTGCTTTAGTTTAAATTAATGACACTGATAACTTATGGCTTAGATTTTGGCAGATATCAAAGCCTTGATTGAGTTGTTATTTTTGCGGGTTGCGTGCAACATACAACTAGTAGTGAGTATGCGACCAACCGGAACCTCAAACATGTGTTTAGCGACACTTTGCAAAAGTCGGGCACTGGGCCTTTATAACATGCATATGCACAAAGACGTAAAAGGGAACTAACTGCAACAATAGAGCATTTTTTAAATGAGTGGATTAGGCTGAGACTTTGGTTTCGCTGGTTCCAGCTATTTTGGAACATGGTTCAAAACCACATGTTCAAGCTATGACTGGAACCAGCGAAACTGAAGTCTAAGCACGAGGGGCCAGTTTCCATACAATCGTGACAATGGCCGCGGGTATGTGCGTGTGCACGTTCATGTGTGTGCATGCATCGCATGCGAGACTGCGGCGTGCACTTGGTGACATCGTAAACAAAATTGTACCATGTTATGGTTTTGTGACAAGGCTGATCTGAAGTAAAGTCAAAAAGTTCAGGTATTTTTAATTACAAAAGTAGAAACAAACGGTAAAAATGTTTAGGTACATGGAATCAAAAGGGCATAAGAACCTGCACCCATCATTATGATTTATGGGTGCACTTCTGAGACAAATGGGTCATTTTAGCTACCTGCACCCGTTAATTTTGAGCCCAGCATACTATTCAAAATTGTCAATGCCAGAAAAGCTTGAATTTCATTTCGTGTCACTGGTGTCCATAGCAAATTATGTGTTTTGGGGGAAGCATTTGGGGATGAGGGGCCTGGGCATATTAGTTTGTTTCCTAAGCGATATTCATTCATTATCAGATCAGGGGTTATAAACTTGGATAAAACATACAAAGGTGATGTACTGTTGTCGAAGTTTACAACCAGGATTTCCCAAAAAAGGGATATTATTTGGCACATTATCCTTTTTCTGCCAGTGCAAATCTTCAGCATTTTGATTCCATCCAGCACCACAAGCCCTGCCATGTACAGCTGCATGTCTAGGCCTTTTCTGAGGTGGCTGTTGCTGATCTGCATCACTCATCACATCTGAACTACAGTAAAATCTCGATAACTCAAAGTCGGGTAACTCGAAACTCCGCTTAACTCGAAGAACAATTAATTCCCGCCAAAAGAATAGGCTTTTATGTACAAAACATATCCATAACTCGAACTGCTCACGTAGCTGGATTCGTTTACCTCAAAGTTTTTATGTAGCAGATCCGAAAGAAACTGCCGCCAAAATACTTCCAGAAAGTGTAAACAGAACGCGGGTCTTGTTATGAATCATTTCTGACATGCACACTTCGTCTTTTCGCACAGGAACACTTGCAAGCGCGCTACAATGATGATCGATCGAGACACGTAAACGACATTGTGACCACAAAATCCAACTTGCAGGAATTGACCCAATTGTAACTGTGGGCCCATTGTAGACAGTGCGCCGGCAGGCCAACTGATGGCTCTTTGCAGTGGCTGCAGCAATACATTGGAGATCTTTGTGTATGCCGCACACGGCACACGTACAGAAGTTAAGTCTGGCCTAATGGTCCGGCCCAACTGCTTGTACTCGTCCATGCGATGGCTGCCCAATTAGAGCCACAAACCACAGCATGCTCACGCACAGTGGACAAACCATGTGACTGCAATGCAGAGCTTTTGCGTAGCCAAATCTCACTCCCAAAAAATAAAGCACAAAAATTTGCTTAGCACAATATTGTCTTGCTCAGGAAAAACAGGTTACCAGCCATAAATCCATATCATTTTTATGATAAGTGAACATCAGCTGAACACCAGTCACAAGCAGTATCCAACACATGAACATTTTGGTTGCTAATCCTGTTTTTATCAAGGGGAAAAAATTATGTTAAGGATACATGAAATTGGCCCTGACCACTCACAAACATGATGTTCAACTTCACAAGCAAGAAGTTCGAACTCACACACACACAACATTTGCAATTCAGAAACACGACATTCAAACTCACACGTTTGTCTGTCTGCTTTGGAGCACCATACAATCTGGCAACGTCACTAGACTGTGCATGTCTCTTCCTAATCAAGTACAATGTCATTTTAAAGCTAATTTTAGATCATTACCCAAGGACAAACCCGATCACTTTATTGATGTACATGTACATGTAAATCTTCAATAAAATTTCTGGATTTATCCTCCATGTACTTATCATCTAACAGCTATATTCCTTTTAGCTAGGTTCCCTTAACCCTAACAGTCCCAAATGCTCCAAAGTACTACTTAGTTGAAAAATGCAGTACTCAGCCCTGTCGCTTGTAAGAGGACATGACATTATTATTCTCTGAAGCCATAAAATACAATAGAGAAGACAATGTACCATACAGTGCTGTGGCACTATGAATGCATGGTTTCATTGTTCTCTGTACGAGTAACAATGGAATAAACCTAGCCAGAAATAGTAATTTGTAGCGCTAGGTCCTTCAGGCTCAGAGTGTTACGTAGTATTTTGTAGTACTGAGTACTCTAAGCCAAACAATGCCCAGTACTGTTAGGGTTAAAGCGCATTGCTGAACTTTTGCGGCTTTATCTTTCCAGGTGGTGTCATTTTTTTACAGCAAGGTAATTGTTTACTGTTGCCACTCTGTGACCCATTCATTAGTTGTTTGGAACGCTGTGCATCATATGTACATTATGCTCAGTATGCATAAAATTTGTACTGTACACTTTCTGAGCATAATATGTATGACGAATGTCATTCTACGCATCCTTTTCCATCTACCGTACCAACCACACATCTGTACCAACCACGCAGTCAGACTATCTGTGATTTTATTTGAATTTGAGTCAACTCAGTCCAAAGCCAACTCGGTCTCCAGTCAACTCGGTCCCGGTCAACTCGGTCCCTGCTATTAAAATATGTAAATAATAAATTGTGGGGTACAGGTAGACCTCAAGCAGGGACTGAACCGTCTTTCCGTGCACACTGCAATTAATGCTGCCGGGTGCTTGGTGCTGGCCGGGCCCACACAAATAATGCCATGTTAATCACAATTATTTATGAAATAAACTTGAAATGCAAAGACTCAATTTAAAAAATATTTAAAGACATCTATCAACATCAAAAGAAAACAAGCAATCAATGTCCAAAGGGATAAACACCTTGCAAAATTTGCAGGGATCATTAGTGGGCCTTAAACAATTTGAGCTGGGTAACTTCTGTTTGTATTTTTATTTCAAAGTCATATCCAAAGGAGTTATGAAAGATAAAAGTTTATGGAAATTTCATTTTAATCATTTCAAGTTACGTCAACCATAATTTTGCATGCCGGACCCCGGCCACTAACCCTGACACTCCTCAATCCTTCACCTGTTGGAGGACTGAGGACTGTTCTAAAGTTCTTAACTGATCAGCAAGCATAAATGAAATCAGGCCGTCAAGGGGTAAAAATAAACCACAGTCACAACAGTACGTAGGGGAATACTTTGTGAAAATGAATTGAGATTCAAATTTTGTGATTATATCTTAATCTTATTCCCTGGGTTGAACCAAGATACGGAGCAAGCATGGTCTTTAGTGAGCTCGACACATGCGCTGTCTGATAAACTCGAACGGCATGAACGGAGCGAAAGTCAACAAGTGGAAGCAAGAAACTGGTAAGCACAAATCTCATTTTGTTTCAAAAATACTCCGTTTCATGCTCTGAAACCTTGTTATCCCACTTTTTAAGAGGTATATATTAATCAGGTTTGCTGACAGGGGGAAATTTGATTTAACAGCTTTCTTACACCGATGAATCATTTCACCACAAAAATCTGATTCCAAAACCCCATAGCGTTACAACACCATGTAGGCCTAAACCCTGTTGGCTCAAAGTCACACAGAGTATGACGGAGTAGTGACTTTGTGTTCTCAAAATAGTTTTCAGCATGTTCAGGGGTAGACCCGTGAACAGGGCCCGACATATACTCCTCCATTGTATACTGGGCACTGTCCTGATTCTTCTGAAAAATTTATCTGAGATATCGGGGGCATAACTAAACATCCGTTTGATTTTATGAAATGAAATTGGACTGGTATGTTCACTACTTACACGACAGGGTAAACTATCCTCTAGGTTGCTAATTGCAAAAAAAGCCCTTTCCTCGTTTGGAGGAGAAAATGTTGCCTTTTTGTTGCCATTTTCCGACTCTGGACGAATTTTGGCCTGACTTATACATTACACAGACTCCTTTGTGTGGTTAAATAGTAGCCTGTACAAGAGCCTGCCTAGTTAGCACCCACATTTAATCTCTTAAGAATTTCTTTCAGATCTGTGGGAGTACCTGTCGATCTAGCTCTCAGAGTCACCATCTTTAAAATAAGATCGTGGAACATTACGTCACTTGACCCCTCATCTTCTCGATGGCTGTTCCAAGTCAAGATATATCTAATACATGGACTGAGCGATAAGATACTACATGTGCCAAGGGGCTCTTCCAAAACTTTGGCAGCAGTTTAGATTCTTGACATGGAACAGCCGTCGAGACGATGAGGGGTCAAGTGACATAATGTTCAACGACCATATTTTAAAGATGGCGACTGTGAGAGCAAGTCTGCGAGATTGAATGGGTGAAGGCAAAAAGACTGGAAAATACCAGAACAACGTGAGTGAAATCATTCAATAAATGGCCCTAAGAAAGCGGAGAGGCTAAAGATCATCTCTGTGTGCAAAAGAAATTGCGCCACAATAAGTGGGTGCGCCGAAAATTTTCAGTATGCCGACACGAAATTGCGCATACGGATGTGTGGCTAAGGATGGAGCGGAACTGAGAGTTCATGCCACACTAGTGGGGCCAAGTTTCCATATGCCCCTGGATATCCCGAATAAAATTTTTTGAAAGAAATCCCTATGAATCGGGACAGGGCCCAATATACGACAGAGGAGTATACGTCGGGCACTGTTTACTAAATTACAGGTCTAGCATGTCTAGTTCAGGGGCACGACTCATGAGGGCCAGGGGTGTCCTATGTACGAGTGGTTGGGTAGGTAGGGCTAGGCCTATCCTGTAATTATTCCCGGCATGCCCGGAAATTATTCAAAGAACGGAGTAAAATTACTGCAGTTTTCCTTCTGTTGAGTGAACCGTCATTCTTTCCAACAACCAACAGCCCTGGCCCCTACCCGTAAAATTTTTTTGTGGGCCTAATTAATTCTAAACCCAAATTAGGCCTATTAAAAAAAAAGGATTTCGTGACCAATTTCTTACCTTCGAGTAATCGATGTATAATGTTATCAACGTTAATTTTATCAGTATCAGCCATCTGGATCAATTCCTAACTTCAATAACACACGATTCACTCAACCAAAAGGTGTTAGTTTCACAGGATGACGGTCGATTTACATGTAGCAAATTTTGTGAGATCGGCTTCCTCTATTTATGAATTTCAAAGATGGCGTTGGTGTCAAAGTGCGCAACTGCAGTCCGTGGAGTATGCGCAAGCGCTCTCGACATAGAGCGTGTAGCAGTCTGGTTCCCTGAAGCTGAAAGTTGCACTCATAAGGATCTTCCTAAGGGGCGCAGTCCACTAATCCGAGTGAGAATTCCTAGGGGTACAGTCCACTAATTCAAGCCCTATTGAAAACAGTGTCAAATCAGCACTGTCCAGGGCCCAATAGCATGCACGCCAAGGACCATTTTTCAACCGTAGTTTTTAGCCATTCTGCTCTCATATGAAAGCTCAAAGACCCAGGGAGTTGATCCCGGCAACGATTTACGCAATCTCACCACTTTGGGGTCCAAACAATCTCCTTTTTCAAAAGATACTGTGGGGGGGGGCACTTTTAATGCTAATGAGCTGGCCAGAAATCCTCACTTGAATTAGTGGTCTGCACCCCTAGATCCTGGCCACAACTCATATCATTAGCATTTAATAGTGCCTCACAAGTATCTTTTAAAAAAGGATATTGTTTCGCCCCCAGAATGAGAGACTGTTTAAGTTTTTGCTAAGATCAGCTCCCTGTTTTTTTAGCCCTCTAGCAGAGAGTAGACTACTTGCAGTCGATGGGTTTCAGATTTTGTTCGGTTGACATCACCAGTTGTTGTCAGCAAAGGTTAGATAGACGATTAGAGTCTTTCGTAATTGAAGTAGAATATTCCTTTAAGTTTACAGCTTATAAATTATAAGACTGAATAAAATATGTTGATCTGTTTTTATTTCGGTTTTCACCAACGGACCACCATAAAATTTCAAACCGTAAATATTCATCTGTGTATGAGACTGCCGCATTGCACTGTTCTTTATGTATTTTAGATTTACAGAAGTGATGGGTTAATTTTGGGCGGGATATTTCTCTTTTAGGTCAGGTGATTTTTTCAGTTTCTATAAATAATTTTGATATACTAGCAAATATTTTCCAAAGACCCTTTTTCGAGATGGATTTTTTAAGAAGTAGCTGAACGAGAAAAACATTACAAATTCTAAAATTTTGCACGTAATTTTTCCTATCCAAGGCGCACCATTAGGAGTCAACTTTCAGATTCTATTAGTGAACTGCATCCTCTCCACAGACATATAAACGCATATAAATTCTCACTTTAATTAGTGATCTGCACCCCTAACTCGCTGTAAGCACGCTTTTGCGCTACAAAATCCATAATTTCCGCATGTACATTTATTATCAAAAGACGTCAACAACCATGGCAACCTAAAAACACATGGCTCAAAAGAAATGGAAAGTTCATTTCTCTCTGTTAAAAAGGTCAGCCACGTTTGTAGAGGAGAGACTTATGATATACAATTATACATGGACCAACTGTCGTGTACGTCTTGAACGTAAAAGTGAACGTACTGTCCCCCCGTCCCAACTGTGTCCACAACATACACAGGCATACGCTGGGCATGCCTATGAGCCCCAAGCGAGACTAACTAGAGGACGCAATTTTCTTTCCTTTGAAGGTGCACCCAAGTAAGTAAATTCCCACAGACAACAGTGATAAAATCCCTATACTTCAAAAGAATTCTTTTTTAAAATACAACTATCGCAGTGATCAGGCCACACAGAAAGTGATGATCAACAAGTCATCTTTAATTTTCCGTTTAATTTTTGGTAGGTTGACCAGTGATTTTTTGAGACATTCTCACCCAAAGCAGACCACCCCCAGAACGAAGGATCATTCCCCAGCTAGGGAAAGTAGCCATTTTGAAATAAATCCCTCGGCAAAACGACTAAATAAAGCCTCTTTCGGACCCAATCGCATCCAAATTACTCAGAATTAGAGCCCCGAGTCCAGGCCAGAGGTTCAGTGCCATATTTCTTCAATCATACTTTATATACAAAATCTTAAGTGTCTATAACTTCTATTAATGAGCTCGGCGGACAGATTTCTGGCCTATTTACGGGATTGCACCCTTGGTCTGACCTCGCTGGTTCACAAACGACCACGAAATGTGTGCGAAATGTGGAAGGGCTACGTAGCACCGTGATCAGAATATCGACACGAATATATCAAATCAGTGCTCTGATTGCCGAGCTTTCGGCAACTGAGTACCAGCACTTATTTGATATTAGATTCTTAAGACGTGTGCGTGGCGTGCGCGTCACTACTGTGTCTCTTTTTCAAGCGATGATGGGGTGCTTCTGCTCAACTTGGTGGATACCTTGGTAGTCCAATTGAATCTACACTATAAAATCAAATTGCAATAACTGGGAGATTCTAGTTTTTAAAGGGTTTGACACAACACAGTGGTTGGGATGAAAAAAATGTTGTCACTTCATTCCACTTTTTAGTTTTCTTGATACCGTCATGGAGTAAGGCTTATAGGACAGGGCCCATTAGGCCTAATGTTTTGTCGAATTCACAAAGTGTGCAACATAAGATGTTCTGGGTGTTTAGTAGCCCAGTTTTGGACTGAGGAATTTGTGAAAACTGTTATGGGTGAGATCTGATGATTTCTGTAAATCTGAATCTCAATTCAGTCTCAAGCATTTTGCTGATAATAATTAAAAATTGGGATTGTCGCTGTTGTTTTTGAAGACTGGTTATTGGTTTTGCAAGGTAGATTTCGCTTGCAAGGTTTTCAATTTAATGTGAAATTCTGCCACTGAATTGTTACTGGTTCATGGAGTGATACCTTTGGTTTTGTGCGGCTAAGTAAGGAAGGGTTTTTAACATAAGGTTTGGGAATTGGAAATCCGTTTAATCAGTGTGATGATGGTGAAACTCGCGTCACAGGGTTGGGCAGCTAGGCCTGAGGTCTTAGCAGGGCCGTGAGCTCAAAACTGAACCCTACAAGAGCCAGGTTATTTTGGACCATCTCACGTGTGCAGCTGGGAGATTCAACAACCCCCCCCCCAAAAAAAAACACGACTGTCCCATGCTTGATTTCCATAAAACTTGGCGTGCATGTCAAGGCACTCCTTATCATTACATAATTATGTGCAGTTTCAACTCAATTTGATATACGGTTTGTTGTTAAGGTCCTGTTACATTGAAGGCCAGACGTGGCAACCCATGCACGGCAGTGCAAAAGTATACATTTTAGCTGACCTGTCTCGGAAAAATGGGCGCTTCGCAAGAACGGTATGTTCGTTTTCAATAAAATTGATAGCAAAATGACCACAAAAACAGTTACTGAAAACTTGCATACGCTCGGCTCGTGAAAAAATGTGTGTCGGCGATACAGGAGGTAAATGTGGGGAGTGGCAGAATCTGACCTAGCTCCGTTAGGGTTATGGAGTCACTTGAAAGCAGATTGATTGCAGAGGCAGATATCGAGAGGGGGTTGGGGTTGCAATCCCCCGTTCAGACCGGACTAAATGGAATTACCAGTGAGAGGACTGAAATGAGTAGGGCTACCCAACCAGCCAGCCAGCCAAACAAACAACCCAACAATCAACCCAACAAACAACCCCAACCCCCAACAAACAAACAAACACCCCACCCAAAAGCCCAACAAACAAAAATAAAAAAATACTGGATGAGGATTGCGTCATCATCTATTCATCTATAGTTGAACAATTACATCGAGTACCGGTGGATCCCCTTAGCAGGGCTTCCCTTATTCAGTACGTCTGTCAGCCCCCTTCGTTTCCTGAAAGCTAGATCCGTCCCTGCATCGCATTAAAAATGTGTTGAGCCCAATCAGAAAAATGTTTATAGTTGAAACCAATCAGAAAAATACTTATCACAGCCAATCCCCAACATAGGGCTTCGATGCAAAGATGCGCGATAAAACCCTGAAAAATTGGTTCAATGCATGGTGTGCTTTTTGTTCCATTCACAGCTTTCAGGAAACAACTTTCTCATTCCTGTTGTCTGTTGTATGTTTTCAATAGATGAAATGAATGTGTGTGGAGGGGACTGGACATTTGAAATGAAATTTTGTTTTGATTACAGCTTTGATACTGTTTAACAACCTCGACTCGACATGCAAAGCTCCTCACAGTCAAACAGGGAGTTGGTGTGGAAAATCCTCCTGTTTGCTAACAAGTATTTCACCGCAGCAAAATACTTCACAAATGAAGTATTTTCTCAACATCACTTCCCAGGCTCAAAGCATCGAAGCTGGTCTCATCAGACTTTAGCTCTATACTCGTAAAGTTCCAGCTCGGTTTCTCAACACACTTTCAGTTACTGGATATAAGTCACAAATTTTGCGGTAAGGTTACATCGACCTGCTCTAAATTGATGACTAATTCCATTGACCACTCAGAATAAAATCAAATGATGTAAACTCATGAATTATATCAATTTCTTAACAAAGTTCCACTCCTTCATTTCAAAGAAATATTATTCCATGAAATAAGGAAAGTTGTGGGTGCATTGGCCTCCGCCCCCACATTCCAAGTAGCTAACCAAGTTTTATCAATGGGTCAACTGGCCTTGGTGAACATCTGGTGTTTGACTCATTGACTACTACACTTTTCTTGAAACCTGTTCACAAAATCTCAACATTGTTACATACTGGGAAAGTGTTCCTTCAATGTTATCAGATTACCATAACCGAGAAGTGAACTTGAGATCATGGCAAAATTAATGTAAAAGTAAATGTGCACATTAAGGGGGACTCGGTGCACGGTTGTTGTGTTTGTCATTGTGTGACGGGCAACACTACTACAGTATTTGTCTGTGTACAGTCAACTCTCGCTGTTCCGAAACGTTTGATCCCAATGAGCGAAAATGTAGGAGAAAATTTGTTACAGCGAAATTGCATTGTGCAAAATTCCTTTCCAACGAAAGGTTTTGAGACTCCGTATGGTGTTTTATAGCCGCCAAATTTCGTCGCGTCGTCCCGACGCCACGACGCGACGCTACGATAGTTCTGTCGCTTTGTGCCATCGCGTTGTGGCGTCGCCTCTTTTCTCAATAATTTTATCCCGTGTTTAATGCTTACATCGTGTCGTTGTGGCCTAGCGTCGCGTCCTGGTGTCTAGCCGTTGCGTCGTATTGTCTTGTTGTGCCGTCGCGTCATGCAGTCCCGTCGCCCCTTGACGTCGTGCCGTTGCACGACGAAATAGGTGGCGCGTTGAAATAGATGGCGCCCTTAGAGACGGGATTAAGTTCGAAACAAAGAGATACCATTTTTCATGATCAAGTCTTGTAGGCCCATTGGTGAATTCCACTTAGTTGTGTAATATTTCTGGGCGCAAGCTCATTCATATTTTGTGGTCCTACGGAGTTTTTACAATAAGACATGTCATAATCAGGAGGGATCATAGAAATTTTTCTGTAAATCGCGAATGTGGGACTGGCAGTGTCCAGTTCGGGATAATTCTTTCACAAAAAGCCTCAAATTGCAGGCCTATTTTGGATAGAGGCGGGCGGCCACATTCAGAACTGAGGGCATAGTTTTGCTATATTTGGGAGGTATCTTCGGGGAAAGGTAAACAAAAAATCACGTGGCTAACCCCCATAACATTGTAATGAAAAGTGATCTTCTTGGCCATAATGTTGAATTTTCAGTGAAAAAACGGAGGCGGCGCTATTTTAGTCTGATTTTGCACTGTTTTCTATGGGCACGTATTTGGTATTGTGCAAACCCTATGTACGCACATTATTTTTTCCAGGACCTGTGACATACGCGCGCCTTAGTAATCATCAGCCATTTTTAGAAACAGTAAGGCACGGCGGCACGATATGACGGACGACACGACGCGACAGCACAACGCCATGGTGCGATGATATGACACGACGGCAAGACATTAGGACATGACAGCACGATGGCAGGATGCGACAGCCTAACACACACTATATAAAAGCCACACCATAAGAGGCGACGCGATGGCATGACGCTACGACTGCAAGACGCGATGTCATGACGGCACGATACAACGGCAAGACGGGACGGCATGACGCGGCGGCATCAAGATACACCACAACACGACGGCACAACGCGACACCAGGTACGTGTACCACAGTGACGGAGTCGTTGGTGGCTATAGAACACCATAGTTGTATTTTGTGTTTAATGCGTTGCCTAAATCTCTGTCTCCTAAATCTCTCACGTGTTGGCTCCGAGCTGGTGCCAAACGTCATGTTCAACATTCCTTTGGGTCCCATCAGCAAGGCGGAGAGGGGGATCTTGACGTTTGGGCAACCCAGGATCTCCATATTTTTGCCCAGGCTTGCGCCCTGAAGAGGCTATTCCAGCCTTGTTTCTGAGTGAGGAAACAACACAGAAGCTGACAGTTTACGGGTTAAAGTCCTTCCCAATTGGCGTATGGAATGGGGCGCCACGGGTCAGTTTCGACGGTGGGAGGGACAATCGTGTTCCACTGGCCGACTACCGCCCGCCTCAAGGCGGGCATCCTCCGGTCAATAAGGTGTTGGCTCGCTAACGTCTGCCTGCTTTAGTGGGTGCCTAAAGCTTAATGTACACCTCAGACATGTCAAGTAGACGGTAAACTTCGCACCAGGCAAACATATCAAGAAAACAAAAAAGTCTCCCGTTATTCGACTTGCAAGTGGATGACACCAGGAAAACAGCTATCATCGACAGAGAGCTTTCCAGACTCAACATCAGCATAGCTGACCTTCAAGAAACCAGGCTCCGCTCTAGTGGCTCCCTTAAAGAGGAGACCTATACTTTTTTTTTCTGGAAGGGTAGAGAACGCAAGGATCCCCGCCAGCATGGAGTTGGCTTTGCCATCAGGAACACCCTTCTAGCTTCGGTAGAGCCCCCTTCTGCAGGCACCGAGCGTCTGCTCTCCACCTGTCTCAGCACTGCTCGAGGCCCTGTTAACCTCATCAGAAGAAACAAAGGATCAGTGTTATGGGCAACTTGATGCTCTGATCAAAGGTTCTTCAAAAGATGAGTCCTTATTGCTCCTCGGTGATTTCAATGCCCGGGTGGCGCGGATCATGAGGCACGGCCTACTAGCCTCGGGCACCATGGCACTGGGAAGACAAATGAGAACGATCAGATGCCAATGGAAGTATGCTGCTACCACGGCCTCTGCATTACAAGCACATTCTTTGAGTGCAGGCCGTCGCACAAAGTGTCCTGGAAACATCATAGGTCTAATCGTTGGCACCAACTTGATTTAATCATCATCAAGCGCTCTGCTCTCAATAGCGTACTTGTCACTAGAAGCTACCATAGTGCAGACTGCGACACTGACCACGCTCTTACGTGCAGCAAAATACGCTTACAATCATGTAATCTGCACTGCTCAAAGCACAAAGGTTGTCCTCTCATCAACACCGCGCAGGTCACGGTTCCAGCTAAGGTGGTAGAGTACGTGTCCACCCTGGATCAATCTCTTTAGGGCCCCCCAGAGCATGAAGCCACAACAAAGTGGAATGCAACAAAAGAAGCCATCTGCAAGACAGCCAGGTCCATATTTGGCAAGAAGGAAAGGCCCAGCCAGGACTAGTTCAACACAAATTTACCAAGGATGGAACCTGCCATCGAGGCCAAACGTGAAGCTTTCCTACGTCACATGAGACGCCCGACCAGACAGACTTTTGCAGCGCTAAGAATCGTGCAGAGTACTACACAACGCATAGCCAGAAAGTGTGCCAATGACTATTGGCAGCAGCTGTGTGAAGGAATCCAGCGAAGTGCTGAGTCTGGCAACATCCGCGGCATGTACAGTGGTACCAAGAAGGCGTTAGGCCCCAGGAAGGGTCTATTCCAACTCTTAGAGAAGATTGGCTGCCCTCCCAAGCTCCGTAGCACGGTGATCTCTTTCCATCTTAACATGAAGGGAAAAGTCCTGTACGATGCAAATGTTTTTCGTCCAGTGGTATGCAGTGGAATCAATTACAAATGAACACCAAGTTGCCATTCTCATCACTTGTGCAACCAATAGCTTTGTGGGGATTTGTAGGTGGAAAGAGACGAAGTTAAAGAAACCTTCCAAGGTACTCCAACAAACAAAAATGTTCACATTTTTACTTTGCAGTTAATTTTCTGACTGTATACTTTTTTTGGAGTACACCCTGCAGTAGAACAGTTGCAGTGCAGGGAGTGAGGAGCAAGATAGATTTGTCTTGTCGCCACATAAAAAGCGCCCTCTCTTGATCCCATTCGATAAGCAATGACAATTCTTGCTTCTGCTGTTAATGAAAATGTATACACTCTTGCTATTTAGATACAATTCCTTTTTAAACGGCGTTTTAACCTTGTGTTTCAAACTGACCAACTTCGTGTCTCGCTCACTCGCCAGATAATCGTGGTGCATAAACGCGATACCGTAGCTCTACATGTACAAGTACATGTAATGTCCATGTACTGTACATATACAGTATATAGTACGGTACGGTTCAGGCGTGCGCGTTCCGTCAAGTGTACCGTCTCCATGCTAACCTGCTCATTGTTAGATGGTTTTGCAAAGCACATTGAACCTGCAGAAAAAAAGAACCGGATGAGATTAATAAGTCGCAGAATGTACTAAGTAAAAAATAAGCTAGGAATAATGAGAGGTCACGGAGAGAGGACAAAAATTAGGAAAATGAGGCTGATGTATACGTAATAAACTCACTTTTTGTGTTTCATTACAAGCGCTTTTATTACCGAGTTCATATTTCGAACGATTCATATTTCGTGGACAATTAGACTGCGAAAAAGCCCTGTTGGCGGGTACCCTGTCCCTCATTGTTTGAATGATAGGAAACCAACTAAAACCGTAATTCTAAAGTAACGTGCTAAGTGTGCAGGTATATCGCCGGAACGTTGAACCTGAAGACCAAAACGAAGGACTTTAGTCTTTAGTCATACGGTGTAGAACATTTAATGCTGTAGAAACGGTTCAGTTTGAAGTCATGAGTACTCCAGATGTGCCCCCTACCAGTGGTGGTAATGCAGGTAAAAAGAAAGGTGGTGGGTTCCTGCACCGACAAGCGAAAGCAAAGAAGGCGACCAGCGCGAGTGCAGAGGTATCAGAAGAAGAACTACTGCAAAAAGATATCGTCACACCAGAAGATGTACTTAAGCTCACTAGTTGTACAGAAAGTGAGTTTAGAATTTTTCAGAAATGTAGCCTAAAACATCTTTTCTGTCAATGTCTGTCAATACTTACAACGTGACTCAGCAAGCTTAGGCCTACTGTACTGTAGCATGCTGAGGCTTAGTCATGTTGAATGCATGTTAAGGCTTTTTAAGAGTAACTTGGACCCTACAAACTTCCTTTTTTAACATTTTGACTTGGTCAGGCGATAGTAGGGTCCTAGTACCTTCCATAGGCTTTTGTTTCCATTAATTCATTTCACTCAAAATAGCTGGTACCCCAAATCAAAATCCTCCCAATTCACCTCTAAAACTGACCTTAAACTCTAATGTGTCTGTCTATGGATTAGCCTAAGTGAGAATCAGAGATTCTAATACTAGGCCTAGTAATGATTAATATGGTTTCTTCACATATGGTGTAACAGGATTATGCGTTATGGCATTATGCGTTATGGGTGACAATTTGGTAATAAACAAATACAAACAGACAATTAGGTTTATGCAGAAATGTGCGATCAGGCCACAGGAGCCATCTTGCCAACCACAGCATGGCTTTTCCCATAATGCATTTGACTATGCATAAATATGGAGTGCACAACTGGACAGTTAATACATGTAATGACGTATGTTCAAGTACACTGCTACACTTCCCCCTTACTTAGAGGAGATGTGGGTGAGAGAGTGCGAGTTTACAGTGGATGTAAACTAAAGTCAAGAATTTTCCGCTTTGCGGAAAATCTGCAAAACCGCAGATTTGGGGGTAAATCGGAAAATGCAATTTTCGTAAAAAAATAATAAATAAATGTTTTTGATCATTTCTGCACAATTAATCCAATAAATGTGAACCCAAATTAGGAATGACAAGTCATTTTCACTGTTTAACTCACTTTGAAAGTAACATTTGGTTACTGTTTTTCCTTTGCGATATCGCAGAATTCGGTATTGATTTCCTTTGGCTCCGCACTGCGGAGATCACACAGGTCCCTGTTCCCTACATAGGGTCCAGACGTGTCACTGCTTATGAATAAATCAATAGGGACGGGAACCAGTCCAAGATCACATCATCACAGTGACATGGTGCGTGTAGGCCCTACATGAATTATTATGCCAAAGATACCTGTAGATGTACGGTAAATGCAGGCCTACAGTACGTACATGTACATGCATGTACAGTCACATACAGTTTTTGTACACAAAATTTAGAAAGCGGAAGAAAGCAGAATTTGACTTTCAGAGATCAGAAAATAATTCTTGACTTTAATGTAAACATTTTAGAAAAAAAAATTCCGTAATCTGAATACTGTACATGTATATCCTGAGTCGTAATTTGATAAAGAATAATTCTTGGCAATAACTACTTGCAATGACTTTTGTATAAATGTGAGGACTAATAATGTCAGGTTGTTGTAAATCGAGGAGCTCCCAATCTCTTAGGCTACACCATGACATTTTCAGAAAATCATCCAAAGTCAGTTCAGGTCAGGGACCAGGGCTCAATCTAGCAATGCCACTAGACTGTAGTCCACGAAGTTTGGACTCTCCGAATTACTTTTTTAGCATTTGGACATGGTCAGGTGGTAGTGGAATCCAAGAAGCCTTCGTAGGCTTTTCCTTCCATTAACCCTAACCTTCCCTAACCACACAGAATTCAACACCAGTAAACATGGTAAAGTGTGCGAGTTTGTAGCATTGGGTACTGGTAATTTACTACCTGGTGTTTACTTTTGTGTAAATGTGTACTGTCGGCCTGCTCTTACCCTGTTGAATTTTGACTGAATGGGTGCTGTGGCACTTTCACTTTTTAGCATCACTTTTTACCATCAAGAATTTCAAATGAGTGCTGTATTTTTAAAGATTATGTAATGATGGAAAGCTTTCCATTGAAATGGTAAGTAAGTAATGTGTAATATTATCAAATAATTACCATAACAAGGACAATCTTCCTTGTTTCTGACCACAATGATCCCAGCAGTCAGGCAGTTGGGTATGGATATGTAGAATGGTGGTGTGTGAGTTCGCTTGAATAGGTACTGCCTGTCCATACTCTCTGTACTGTGCAGTAGGCCTGCTGTACCCAATCAAACAAGATCACACAAGTAAAGACCTGTTGAGGTTTGTGTGATTGGGTACTGTTGCAGCAAGAGTACTGTTGAAGTCTGCGATCGGGTAAAGTACTGTGAGGTAAGAGTGTTTTTCCAAGGTGTTGAAGTTTGTGTGATTGGGAAAGGTTACAAATGTCCATGTAGGTCCAACAAGGTTAGGTTAATTGATTTCACTCAAAATAGCTCATATATTGTCGTACTGTTTGGGAAGTGAATTCTGAGGATTTTGATTCGGGTTTCAACAATGTGCAAGCTATTTTGAGTGAAATAAATCAAAGGTACCTGTAGGAAAAGCCTATGGAGGGTACTTGGACCCTACAATCACCTGACCATGTCAAAGTGTTAAAAAGGCAATTCCTAGAGTCCAAGTTAATACTTGGACTAGCTAGACTGTGCATACATCACCTAATGAAACAATGACATCATTTAAAGTTATGTATTTTTAGATCATGGCTCTTGGATGAACCCGATCTCTTCATTGATCCACATCTTCCACAAAATGGCAATGACACTCTGGATTTTGACCCCACGTACTTCCTTTCATGTAACAGCAATATTCCTTTCAGCTACGTGCAGGCTCCTTCATAGACCTCAAGGAGAAAAAACAGTGGACTGCCAACTTCAGTAGGCGCACCACGCATTGCGTGTAAACATGTTCCGTCAGCCGTAAGCTCTGGAGTTGCCGGCACAGGAAACTTCCAGTTGACTTTTGAAGCATTGTTCACGTGCGATTAACAATAGCAACTGGCGCTGCGCTCGTAATTTTGCTTCGGAACTTTTTCTTTTTCGTGAAAAAAATCACAAAATGGACGAGATAGACAGCATACAAGCATGTTGTGATATTGTGATAATTATGAGTAAACTGATGTTACAGATGGGACATTTCTTCCTTTATAATTCGCCTGCAGTTTTTTTTTTATTTAACTCTTCTTTAGACATTTGTGGTATTTTAAAGTCTAAACTGTTCTGCAGCAGACCCTATGTATTGTGTTTTGTACCCAATATTCTTTTGTTAAGATGTTACCCAGTGGGCCGACCGGTCATGTAATGGCCCTTTTATTATTTTCTGGGTGCACATGTATTTAAGAAGTGGGTTGTACCATGCTTGGGTGCACTCATCACACCACAGCCACCCTTCAGCCAGGGGCTCTGTTCTTTTTTCAACTGATGGGTGTTGCCAACCTTCATCACTCCAGCCAATGTCCAATTGGCCCTCTCTCCTTCAAGCTGATGGCCCAAACCAACCCGTTTTGCGGCTCTTCCTAGATGGCCTGGGACTAGACCGGTTCTGAGGCTCTTCCTAGATGGCCTAGGACCAGACCGGTCCTGAGGCTCTTCCTAGATGGCCTAAGACTAGACCAGTTCTGACGCTCTTCCTAGATGGCTTGGAACCAGACCAGTTCTGACGCTCTTCCTACATGGCCTAGGACCAGACCGGTTCTAAGGCTCAACCCCAGATGGCCTGAATCAGGCCAACCAGGTGCACCAGCCAGTGCTTCAGCCAGCTGTGCCTGAGTTGTCCCTCTGCAACAGAACACCGACAGTCAACTTGACTGTCCCAACCTGACCCAATCAAGTCCTCAACAACAACCTATAAGTTATCATTTAATTTTATAAACAAATAGTAACCTTGATTTAAATTGCTTTAATTAATTATTATTATTTTTGGTATGTAAACTGAATAAATTTCTGTAAATATAGTTGCTGGTTTCCTTTTCTCTACAGTCATGTTCATCTCTGTCGTCCCCTACTTCATTTTGGTTCTTTGGAATTAGTCGCACGTAACACTGATGTGAGAATTATTGACAATTTGTGAGCCTTTTAGACAGGGAAAGCTGTGCATGTATTTTTTTTCATGCACCAATCATGCCAATCTGCAAACATGATTGAGCAATGATGTTAGCTCTCAGCGACAGCCAGGTTTGGTTGGGTTAACCCAGCAAAACCTTTTTTTTCTGACTTGTAAAGCAATTTTCAGCGTTACAAATACTCATCTGGTGGGGTTTTCGAATTTTTCGAGGGGAAAAATAGTACATGTTCCCCCTGTTCAGATTCAAGTCTTTTAACAATGCTAGGCTTATGTGCAAATTTGTGTTTTTCTACAAGATTTAAACTTAAATTTCAAGGGACATTGTTTTATATTAGAAAAATGTGTGGGAAACATGAAGGCCCATAGCATAATTTCCCCAATGACTTTGTACGCAAATATGTCATGCTTCACAAAATGTATGTAATAGGATTTTTATAAGCAGTCAGAATTGTTTGGGGGAAAAAAGTGACAAGCTGCGTCAGCTTGAGAAATTTTCAGGCAGATTACGGACGAGTTTCTGGCTTCCCTTGGCCAGAGGAGCAAGTAAGTACTTCTGAATATTACTCAAATTGGTTTGTAATTCGACCAAATCCCCAAAATTACGAATCACAAAATGTAAAGAAATAGATTTACAATGTACACATACATTGTATTATTTCAAGCACCTCATTTATTATATATATGCAAGTTTTAAAGCTGTCTCTGTCAATTTTTCAAATAAAATTGAGGTTTCATCAAAGCATACTGTATGACGCCTTTTTTGTTTTTAGTTGAATTTGTCCATATTGATAAAAGGCTTTCATGTGGGTGGCATAACCGAGGACAGTGGTCTCCCCAATGATGTGGAATAGAGCAGAGTTCTTAAGTCTGCAGGTATTCATGTACAAAATTATGTGACACATTTGAAATGTGTAATGTGTCCTAGTCATCATAATACTTGAGTGGTGGACTCTGGCATCAATATCAGTGATTAACCACTTCCTGCCCGGGATTCTGGATCCAGACACGTATGCTTTATATGCATGGCCGGGGTCTCCAAACTTGGACAAGGGGAACTGAGCCTTGTAACAAAAGACCGTACTCTGTACATAAGACTGTTATACAGTTCATTGGAGATGCCACTGACTTACGAGTGTCATTCCATGAAATTGAGACAGGGATAAAGTGTCCATCTTATATGTGAAGTTTTTTTCTAATCCCATATATTTGCAATGAGCGATTTTTATGCTACAGTAGCACTAAGAAATACCACCCGTATGTCAAGAAGAATTTTAAAATTCAGTATTTGTAAACAAAACTGGAGCTATTTGAAGCTACCATATACATGTAGTTCTCCCTACTATTTATGGAATCCTCCAAATTTAGATTTCATATGATTGTGTTAAGTGCACCTGCCAGTGTGCATGGGTGCATAGTGGTTGAAGCATTTGGTCTGCAAATGTTTTATGGTCCTTATGGGTGTTACAAGTTGCTGATAAGATCAGTCAATGTACTCCTTGCAAGTTGCAGTCTGCTGTCAGTAGCTATTGGGTCCTCAACATTATGGCTTCCCTTCTCACATCGTTCAAGTTCATGGGAGCCACCAATTTAGGGGATGGTGCAGGTGATGCTTGCACAACCTAAAGGAGTGAGATTCAACAAAGTATGAGTGAAGAAAAGCTCGCTTGAATGGGGTTCAAACCTAACTTTCTTTTTTCATATACAAGAACGTATTCCACTTGCATTTTTTTTTCATTTCAAATGGCAGTTTTGTAGGTGTGGCAACATTCTGAACTGTTACAATCAAATGGTCACCAAAAAAACATATTCCAGTTAGTGAGATGGAATGTACATAATTAAGGTAATTCAAAAGATGTTAACTTAGTAACATTTTATTCATAATTTACAGAAAAATATAAAACTTTGCAAAAATGGTTCTAAACTACACTAAAAAAATAAGTAAAATAAAAGGGTTCAGATCTGCTTGGTTGGATCAGCCCAATTTGATAACATGAACCTAAGATATGGTATCTGGCCAAGACTTACTTTTAAACAAGAGTTTAAATATGTTTTTATGGTTTTTGAATAGATATAGCATATAGCATGCCTAAAATTCTGGTTACTACTCAACAAACATTTACAGAGGGGTTAACATGAGGGGTTTACATGTGAACATCAACAGAAAGCGTGCATTGCAGTGCAATATGGATAAAACATCCATACACAAGAAAATGCTTGAAAATGACTCCACCATAAAAAACGAAACTTGTTAAAATTCCCATTTAAGAAATCAAATTTCAAATATTTAACACAGGAAAACTCAAGTCAACAACCAACTCAACCAGCCATCTCATTGTACTTACCAGGACCAGGATTATTAACTAACGATGTGGGCAGAAATTCTGTGGGAAGGCTACTGTGGCACCACAAAATGAAATATAAGGAGAATGACAATGAAGTGAAAAAGGATACTGCACCAGACCACAAGCAAACCAAGTCATTTTTCTTATTCATTTTTTACGTTGTTTGTAGTTTTTATTAATTATGTTAATATTATCACCACACTCTTTGGCACTAAAATGACTTCTAAATGATAGGCTGACGATGTTTCAACTAAGCTGAAGAAGAAATCAGACTTTGGTCTTGAAACCCTAATGCACTAATATTCAAATTTTGTGAACTCGCCCATAAAACAACGCTATTTTCAGATCTTTACAATTCCTCACAAGGCATTGTGTTGCCTCCATTCTTGTCGCTCGTGTTCTGTTCCGCCTCGTCTTTTCGCTTTTTTTGGGCTGGATCTGGCCCCTTCAGTATACCATAGAAACTCAACCAACTATTTGTGTCTTTAGGCACTGCTTCCAACAACTGCTCAATTATTTCCTGGAAATGTATGCCATTTTTAGGAGGAAAGATCAACACTATGTGCACGCGGCACAATTTAACATACGGACGACAGCAACACGGAAGTTGTCTGTGCTGGTAACTTCAGCACTTCCGGTTGACGCAAGAACGACGTGCGCCCGCTGGAGTTGGCAGTCCATTGTTTTTCTCCTCCAGGTCTATGGTTCCCTTAAAGTGCATAGCTGAGAACCTTTCAGGCGATGTCAGTTTGTTACTGCCAAGTACACAGATTCAGCTGACAAAATCATCTTGCAAAAATATGGAAGTTTTTGCTAAACTTGATTTATGTATAAATTTGCTGGTATTTGATGTGTTCATTGATTGTTTAAAGCATATTTTTTGTCAAGTGGGTTTTGGAATATTGGCCTTGACAGATGTGAATGTGTAGACATCTAATGTCTTTCATGCACATGTGAATGGCTGCCATGGTTGCCTGCTGCTGAAAACATACTGGCATAGAAATGTTGCAGAATACTCCCCCCCCCAAAAAACAGTTCTTTTAAAAAAAGTGAGCTTTGGATAAGCTCTTTTGAGAAGTATAAATGGTCCTGTAAATGTTTTCATCAAGCTAATTTTGCCAATTTTATGATTTGTTTGTGGATTTTCCAGAATAGTGTCTAAAATGGAAATCTCGGAAACTTTCGGAATCTTGAGAGATCAGAATGACCTCATCATCACTCAATTAAGCAATGGCGCGGCGTTGCCAGATCAAGCCTTGGTCCCTGACCTGCTGACAGAACTTCAAGTCACTACTTTGTGTGACTTGCATCCCTACTTTTTATGTGTTTGTAACGTTATGGGTTTTTGAATGCAGCCCAGTTAGGTCAGTTCAATGCTGATCAGGTTTTATGTCGCTAAACGAAATCTTCCCTAAAAAAGATTCCAAACTGATGCATACATGTAGCTCTTAAAATCTTTTGACCCATGGTTTTAAGACTATTGCTTGAAAATATCTGAGCTTTTACTCACACCCTCTCATTTTCCTGATGAAACGAACCAAACATATTGTACGCTCCGCATGCATCAGGTTGAGGACTCTGTGATGACGAAATCATGACGTTGATTATTGATGCCATTTCATCTTGTGTTTGTTTAGGCATGCTAATTTTAAAAGTTTAAAGACACAATTGTGTTGTCATGATTACGAAGTCAGTTGTCAGGTGAAGTTGCCTAAATAGTCCATTCCATTTAACAGGTCTTGTTTGATAACAGCAAATGCAAAAATACCATTGCTAAAATTTTCTGTACTGTTGACTGAAGGGCAAAAGCTTTCCCAAAACAACTCTTTTTGTTTGTTACCTAACAAACACAAGTGTAATTAATAATACAATTAACTTTTTTGTGTGAAAGATCTCATACGGGCATGAGAATACAATCTGACGTGTGACTCTTGCTCAGTGTTTGAGTGTTTGCAGCCCTGAGGTAATCAGTAAAGTCTCAGTTTGCAAAGGATTTCCTTTTTAATAAAAATAAAATGACACTACAATTTCAGAATCATTTTTTTTCTTGGGTAATGTCTTGCCATTATGCTCTCTGAAAGAATTTTTGGTGAAAATCGCTTCTAGGCTCCCGTATTTGCTACTCTATGTCTACAGGTAAATATGGGTGGAATTGCAAGGAACATGTACATTTAGGATGTGATTAACTTGGATTAAAATCTCACCAACCTGACATATGATGTCAGACCATAGCCCAGCCTTCTGTTCTAGATCCCAACTGGACAGTAATGCAGTCTTGCATAGGTCAAGAGGATTTACCATTACCAAGCCAGATGGTTTCGCAGAGCATTTGAGTTAATACTCGGCTGTTAACTATTACAACCACACACAACCACACAAGAGTGCCTAAGGGGGACACTGTCAAGACTCTGGAGCCACCCTTGGTACCATGTAGTTTTCATAATTTTCCAAACTGTTAACCCTCCGTATTTGTTTCCTTCCACAGATTATTTATGTGATCCAGATGCTAACATTTATAATATAGACTTCACTAGGTTCAAAATCAGAGACATGGACACGTCAACAGTCCTCTTTGAGATTGCAAAGCCACCTCCATCAGGTAAAGTTTGTTTTTACTTTGCTTATCCCATTCCTATCAAATTAGCCAAAGAAGTCAGATTTGTAAAAAAAGTTGAATAAGTCCTCTGTTGTCTGCCATTGAAGTCATCTCTATTTGGCTTGGTTTCTCAATGCAGATTCATTGTGGTTTCAGCACCTAGTTCCTATCATGTTAGTCATTCTAAGTTTTATATGTCATAAATACATGTACTCATGATCAAGAACCCAATTCTCATTAGACTGTGAACTATCACACCAGCTTCTACTTTTGCTGTTTACCAGGAGTGCACCGAGCTTTCACATTCAGACTATTTATGTATGCGCAGATACATGTAAATCACATGTGTGCTAGTTTGTTTGCATATGAGCTTTATGAAGCAATGAAGGAACTGTCATATAGGTATAGAACACACGCTTGAACATCGCCCTAGCTTGGTGTATATGTACACTTAGGGGTGGGATTCCAATCCGGATTTTCGATTATCAGGGTTGAATTCTGCAATCCGGTTCCGAAATTCAAAACCTGTTATCCAAAACCAAAAATAAAACGAGTAACTAACTTTACCGCAACAGTAGTTTTCTTTCATTGATCTGGAAAAAGAGGTATTCCACTTGATAGCGCAAAACCACACCATACTGGCTTCTTGTAAGCACAAACACACCGCTATCATCATCACACAACAATCAAATTCAGCCATTGGGTGCCTCTGACCCGTAGTGCGCGTTTATTGACATGTTACTACGATCAGGATACCTTGCAAGGGCCGAATCCCCCATCTCATGTGTCCCAAATTCCGCATCATCCATTGTCACAATCACAATTATGTGAATTCAGAAACCGCTGTAAACAAACCAGCCCAAACAATAATGCAACAGACAAACTGGTACCCAATGGCAAGGCACATAACCGAATATGATAACTGTTGCACAACCTTACTGGAATCATTGCAAACAGGCCCAAAATACTGATGTTTTTAATGATTTTTTCATTGAAATTTTTTAATACCGATCTGATGTTTTGCCAGTGTTGCCAAACATTGGCCCAATCTGATGTCCGATCCGATCATCAGTTGATCCCTACTAACACTACGAGACAACCTTTTCCACATGAAATGTTTTTTCTAAAATGACCAATCCTTGTCATAAGAAGCACAAATCCAGTGGAATAAAGTGAATTAAGAAATTCGCTACCTCATCTCTGCATCCTCAGCTCATACACGTGCGGTAGGCCCCTGCCCTGGTACGTTGGCTGGTATCATTTTTTACTATGCAAGTTAACGTTATCTCCAATGAATGAAACAACAATGATAGCTTTGCGGGTCGTATCACGTTGAGTCTGATCATCCTGCATTATTAACCTCGACTTAAATTTGTGAACACAAAAACACATATATAGACAACAGATCAAGTTCTGGGAATTAATTTGTAGAAATCTTTCTGTGACATCATTTTTTTCGATGTGCAGGTGTAAGGTTGAGTGTGTACA